AAACTGTGCTAGTCAGACTCCCAACCAGTGTTATGAGAGACCCTGTGAGTGTGACACGTACACTCCGCGACAGAACTCAATGGGTTATGGGGTACACACAGCGTCAGGCAAGGTATGACGGCGTTTGCTGAAGTGCCATCTTCTGAAGAATCGCGAGTGCGTTGTTTCGCGATACAGCACAGAGCTGCGTAATCATTCTCACCTTCAGCGTATTGTCCTGCACGGTTGATGCGTCCTCACGAAAGTTACGAATCTTCACTAGTCAGTTTTGACGGTAGTCTGTGTGGCATTAAATGCGACATTTCGGCCGATTCTACATAGAATTCATTTTCTTGTCTGTCTAACGATATGTCTAAAATGTGTGAGAGGAACTCGTAGAAAACACTAGTAAGCTGTGAATTCTCGTTTTCTTTTTCTCGAAGAAGACCCCGCGTAATCTAGGAGGTTGGCGCATTTGATCAGTAAGTCCCTGGAAAAAGCCCCCTACAGCGGATGTATGTCGGTCAATCGATGCACAGGTCTCTGTATGAAGAACTGGAGACATGACATGCTGTTCAAGGGCGGGACTGTGAGGAGTCTTGTGTAGCTGCGTTGACTTGCGCTGACTTGGTCAACTTTCACGACCTGCAGTGAAGCATCCGGGTTGAACACTGATGTCACGCTGTCGATGATGATGATGATGATCTGCATTCCAGGGCCGAAAAAAATTGTTCAGCTGTAGCATCCTATCGATGCCACCAGAATGAAGCACGAGGGCTGAGATGCTGCTAGGTTTCCCAAATCTAGACAGGGGAAGTCGAGAGGCAGAGGTCGGATTCGAAATCTTTTCCAGTTAAGCCCCGTCACTAATGCAAAAAGTGCATGTGCGAAAAGTTAAACCCTGCCACTTTTCGCCAGCTCCAATTTAATGTACGCATACAACCCTGACCTAGTTTTGATCAAAACACAATTCCTTATCCACATCTAGGCTCATTTTGTGCAAAATTTTCTCCGTTCTGACGTAAAACCTCAAATGAACTTTCTGACGCTTTCAAATCTCGTTCATGACAAGGAGACGGCAATACGTCTTTTGAAAAGCCACGCAGTGATCCATCAGCAATGTTTATGCAACAATG